CTTTTAGTAACGTTTTTTCAACGTTACGCTACAACGTTTAATCAACGTCTCTTTAACAACGTTACATATCTTTGCAAAATCGATTACTTTGACAACGTTTCCGCAACACCTTTTGCGACCGGTTTTCAACGTTGATTCAACGCTGACATGTTTGCTGGGTAGCCAACAAAATAAAATGTGCTTTACAACAAAAATTTTAAACGAAAGTAAGCTGCACCGATAGCTATGTTTAAAAAAGTTTTGAGGAAAATTAAATTTTTGAATCTAGAATTTTAATGTTCAATAAAATTAAGTAAATCAAGAGGATTTTCTTATCTTTTATTTCGTAGCGCAGGTACAGCCATAACAACTTGGTTTTTCTTTTTTTTTAAATATCAAATTCTTCTTCATCCGTACCAAAAAATCCTCCATTGGCTTTTTTTTTTCTAAATGATACCTGTCGTTTTTAATTCGTTTCATCCTGCGTGTATATTAAAATAATAAACTTAAAAAATAAAATGTGTATTACGTTTATAATAAAACAGAGAAGAACACAATAGAAGATGAAATAGCGATGACAATGTTTATTTTTTTGTTCTAAGTTAATAATTAAAATAACTTTTTTCAAAAATAATTTTTGATGATGTTGCAGAAAAGTTTTTTGAATATAATTTAGATTTTAAAAAAATCAAAAATAAATACAAATTTTAAACTTTTCTTTAGTTACGGTCTTTATGGCTTGAATTAAAATACTAATTCTTTTGAATCGCATGACTCAAGCGAAAACAATAATATCATCAGATTCTTGATAAACGAATACGTCTCACATCATACTCGCATCTATACGTTCACTGAATCTTGTTTCTCAAATGTATCTTACAATTACACTAATCTTAATTGTTAAATAATTGATAAATAAGCAAAAATAATAAGAATATGACTGCACTAGGACATCCAAAAACACTTCAAGATTGTCTAAAAGATTGTGAAGAAGAAATTAGAAAGCCAAATAATGGTCTCTGTGTGTGAGAAATAATGTTTGTGCGTTTACGTTTACACTTCCACCGACAAAAGTGCTAAACCACTGTCAAAGAATGGTTAACTTCCAGAAGTATCATGCATACATTATTTGCAGATACATCCATTAACATACATCAATTTTTTTTTTTTACTTTTTTTATTATATTATTTTTTAATAATGGTCTCTGTGTGTGAATCCAAATATATATATATATATATATATATATATATATATATATATATATATATATATATATATATATATATATATATATATATATATATATATATATATTTCTTTTTTAATTTTTTTTTTTTATTACAAAATTATATTCAATATCAAAAGTAAATACCGTTCGTAAGACAAATTATTTACAAAAATTACGACTTAAAATAAAAAGACCTTTAGACAAAAACTTTTCTGAGTAGCAACAACATATATAACTTTTACATAGTAGTTATTGTTTGCATAATTTTGATTGAATAAAATAATTATTAAGATAATTGAACTCTTGATTCAAAGACAATAAAAACAAAATAAAGATGTTTTAGTAAATAAAAAACTAGGGTTTTCTGCTGCATTTATCTAACTGTTAAATGCGTGATTTGTGTACATTTAAAAAATCTTTTTCTAAAAAACTGCGCATGACAATGGTGTATATACATTGAGCCATATCACAAAAGTTATGTTGCTTTGAGAATTTGGGAAAAGTGGCATGATATAGCATTGCTTACTTTTAGCAAAGAAAAACTTGCATAAAATTTGATTCTGCTTTGCGTTTTTAAGTTTTTAGGTATATGCGTATTATTGCGTAATTATGTAATTGTATAACTATAAAAAATATTTACTAGTTTTCAACTAGCACATAATTTTGCTTATATTGTGGGACTAATATTTAGTTTATGTGTATTTTGTATGGATTTGTAAATAGTAGTAAGTGTAATAATCTATTCCTTTAGATTATCTAATAACTAAAATTATTTTATTATTTTATTATAAATCAATCTCTAACTATATATGCAAACTAATGAAGAGCAGATATGTCTGCAAGCCAAACACACAGTGATACGTGAGAAATGCAAACTATTTATTAAATGTTCACTGGGACCTGACCATTGTCCATCCTCACGCCATCTAGCTAATGCAATATTGCTAAACACATGTTAATAATCAAACGACCAATTAGTAATTAGATCGACGAAGGGGTGACAAAGTACGATACGAATATACAGACCATAGAACATATACAAGCGACCGTCACGTGAACAACGAACGCTCACGATTTAGACAATTTTAAACATTATTTTCTATGAATGTTCGGTGTTTAAACTTTAAACTACTAGTTTATGCAAACTGCATAACTGCTTGTAGTTTTATATTTATTTGTAATTTTTTGTCTGTTTTTTGCATTTACAGAATTTAATTCAAATTCTAATCTCTTTTAAAAACTATGAAAAAATTATATTGTTATCAAGATTTGCAGCTGCAAAAACTATCATATTTATTTTGGTGAAGCTCACGAGTTACCAAACGTTTTTTCGCCAACGCACAAACAGGTTGGCAAAGCATACTTGTTTGAAAAGAGTTATGAAACTGAGCCACTACAAACTGTGTGTAAAAGACTAGCTGATAAACTCTTGCAAGTATGGATTAAAGCATCAATCCCTACGATAACTTTTCAAGGGATAGTTATTCCTCGAAGGTGAAGTGAAGTTCAGAAAGTGACGCGATCAAAATCTACAACACTCAAAAGAGAAGAAATAGAAACTAATCTTAATAAACTGTTTGATATTTGTTCATGTAAATGCAAAGGGTTTTCATCTTGCAGCTGCCCTCCTAATATGAAGTTAGCAGCAATTGAGCATTCTTTTCTTACAGATCAGCGCACTGCACGTGTTGGTCGAATAACTGGTGTTGATAAGAAGGAATCTGCACTTGCTGAATGGCGTCTAAAAAGGAAATCAGTATTAAGACCAACAAATGAAATCAGTAACAAATGTGTCAGAGTAGCTAAAGCATCAGATTAAGATAATGATACAGCTCAAACAACTTGTTGTTTTGACACTGAAACTTACCCCTCTTGTGCATCAGATGATACATCAGATGAAATACCCAAAACTTCTAGTCTCAAAAAATATTGCCTTAGAAATATTTCACTACAAGCAGATGGGTTTGGAATTTCAGACTGTGCAGGTGCTGCATTAGTATTAGCAACTATTGTTCATTTCGGTTTAGAACATTTGGGAGCAGTTGATTGCAATATAATTTGGAAAGAAAGACAAATTCTGAGATCAGCATGTAAAAATACTGATTGCAAGATTTCTGGGTTGTACTTTGATGGCAGAAAAGGTCGGGCATTAAAACTTGTTGGAGATTGACAGACTGTGGTTTCTGAAGAACATATTTCTCTATTATCAGATCCAGGATCAAGATACATTGACCGTTTTTCTCCAGTAATTGGTACAGCTAAATCTACTACAGAATCAATTCTTGATGCAGTAGACTGTACTAATCTTGTTTGTATTGGTCAAGATTCAACAAAGGTTAACACTTTTTTAAATAATGGAGTTATACGCAGAATGGAAGTTGAACTTGGTCGTCCACTTCACTGGTCCATTTGTCTCTTACATCTGAATGAGCTTCCTTTGCGACATTTATTTAGTTCCTCAGATGGTGCAACAACTGGATCACATTTTAATGGACCTAATGGCAAATCTTTCAAAATTTTTGAAATATTTGCCATTAGGTCCATTAAAATGAGATCCAGCAGACTGTACTGATCAATTTTAAAGCTATTGCAGCCACCCATAGGCTCACCAGCGATAACTTTGCTGTTATTGCTGATGAACCTATTAATTGTGATAAAGATTTATTAAGCAGTGACCAGTTGTCTTGTTTTAAAATTATTAATGCAGTAAAAACAGGGATTGTACCACAGGGATTTGAATCCAGATTGCCTAGGCAGTAAACCATGCAAGGTGGTTAACACTTGCAAATCGTGTTTTGCGCCTAAATATATCTATTATAACACATTCCAATGAACTTACACTATTGGCTAAATTTATCGTGAATTTTTATGCAGTTGCATGGTTTGATGTAAAACTATTTCAAACATTTGGAATGCCGCACCACACTATTAAAAAATGATAGAAACATCAAAATTTCTTCCTGTGCAGTATATATATTTTTGATTCAGCAAGTTTTGAAGGGCAATAGCTATCCAGCTCATATTGAGAGCAATATTCTTGCTATGTTGAAAGACAACCGTCAAGTAATTCGTAGATTTATTCTGAAAAGAATTCTACATGCACGGAAAGATGAAATATCAAATCGTATATTCTATATCCCTGAAAGTAAACTTCAAGCAACAAGCTATGAAGAGTTGATTAATTAGCAAACTACTCCCCACTTGGAACCCGTTTTGAAAAAACACATTTCTACCGCACAAATATTGGCCTGGCTTCCGTTAGATGAAGATATTGTCGTTGATATAGAACCATTTCCATGCCACAATCAAAGTGTTGTACGTTAAGTTAAAATTGTCACTGAATCTGCATCTAAGGTTTATGGTCATGAAAGC